TTTAGCCTACATTCAAGGAGAAGGGATTATACAAGGGCATGAATGACAGGGGGTGGGGATCATTGGGGGCCATCTAGAAGGCCAAATACCACTGTACTCCTCTGTTTATCTTCATGATCCAGTTATGGTCTCTCTCTTGCTCTCTCTCTCTCCCTCCCTTCTTCCCTCCCTCCCTCTCCCTCTCCTCCCTCCTTCTCTCACTTTCTCTCTCCCTCCCCACTGTGTGTGTATATATATCAAGAAGTATCAGATGAATTTGTACTGTGTGCTAGCACTGAGAGAGAGACAGAGAGAGAGAGAGAGAGAGAGAGAGACGTGATCTTGCTCTGTTGACCAGGCTGGTCTTGAATGCCTGGGGTAAAATGATCCTCCTGTCTGGGCCTCCCAAAGTGCTGGGATTATAGGCATGAGCCACCATGCCCGGCTCCTCTTCTTTATTAAGCTTTTCCTCAACTCTTCAAATGATTTCTGAACGTATGTAGCATTCATACTATACAACTTATTTGTCATACGTCATTTATTACCTTATATTGGTAGTTACTTCTTCATTGCTCTTGAGGACAGTGACAAAGTCTCATGTCTCAGTAGTCCCAGTTTACCATAGTGTCTTGTACACGGTGCAGAGATGGTAATGAACTATGTATGATTTAGTACCTCATATTTCTTAAAATACTGGAAAGAATTATAAGTAACTAACCTCTGCCTTCCTGGAAAATTATTGACATGTGATCTTATGAGGGGAATAGGAGATAAGTCATTCCAGAATGCTGATCTTGAGGTGGGAACCTGGAGAAGCAGAAAGGTCTGAATGTCCAAGAGATATGGACCTGATGATGCAGGAACACTATTCTTTATAGTGTCAACACATTGACCCTCCAGAACTCCACAAACTTCTGGGTGAATCTAAAAACCTATTCTCTTCGCTTCTCCCTTATCCTTACTTTGGCATCCTGAATTAGACTGTCTTTTCTGCCTATATTTAATTCAAGTTAAGAAGTATCAAATGAATTTGTACTGTGTGCCAGCACCATGGCTAGTGCTCTTTGGAATTCAAAAGGTCATTACCTTGAGAACTTTAGAGTCTAGTCAGAGAGACAAACTCAGTGCACGGTGGCACATGGGTAAAAGGTGATATAAGTCTGTCAAGAGATTAGAACCTTGGGAGTTTGATATGGGCTACTCTAGTCTGGAAAGATTTCAAGGGTAAAGTAGTACTTGGGCTCAGGCATGCAGAAAGGAAAAGGGACAGCTTTCTGAGAAGGAAAAATTACCATGAATGAAAAACCACATAGGGAATAAATATGGGAACCCTTGTGAAGGGTTCTTGTGAAGACCAGTGAGCTTGGAGATGAGAAATGGGAAAACAATTGAAGAGGTAAAGTGGGGGTAGATTGGGCAAGAGTTTAATACTAGATAATAAAGTTTAAATTCATCTTAGAAAGTAGTAAGCTATTGAAGCCTTTTGTGTCAAACTGTGACATGACAAAAGTGACATTTTATAAAGATTAATCTGAGAATGCTGTATAGAGTGGATGGGAAAGGTTATGGTCTAGAGATAAGAAAGTAGTAGATGGATGGCCATAATTACCCACACATTCATTTAGTAACTTATTTATCGTGCATTTATTCAGCATTTATTGAGCAGCTGCTATTTACCAAGCAGTATGCTAGATATTGGATATATACTAATTAGACGTAGACCTTGGCCTTGTAACTCAAAGTTTAATCTGAGGTATACAAGCCTAGACAAATATGATGATGGGGGAGTAAAAGGAAAGGTTCGATTTGAGACATTTGGAAAGAATCTCAATGAACGTAAGATTGTAGAAGTAGATTGAGTGAGACTCAAGGATGACCCTAAGATTTGGGATTTGGAACACTGAGAAGATAGAGGAATCATTCATCTAAAATGATAGCTAAGAAGTCAATTTTTTTTTTTTTTTTCCTCTCAAGAAATCTTTTTTTTTTATACTTTAAGTTCTAGGGTACATGTGCACTACATGCAGGTTTGTTACATATGTATACATGTGCCATGTTGGTGTGCTGCACCCATTAACTCATCATTTACATTAGGTATATCTCCTAATGCTATCCCTCCCCCTCCTCCCACCCCATGACAGGCCCCAGTGTGTGATGTTCCCCTTCCTGTGTCCAAGTGTTCTCATTGTTCAATTTCCACCTA